GAGAGCGAAAAACCGCGGCGGCGGGTCTTCGTAGCTGCAGTCCGTGTGCCAGGGAAAGTCCTCCATCGTTTCCGAGCGGGCTTGATAGTTGGCCGTCTGGAAGTTGGCCGAATTGGGGCGGATGTCCCAGAACCAACCCCGACTCGCGCTATGCGTAAGGGGTAGTCCGTGACCGTGGTCTTTGTTGAGACCGAGAAGTAACTGCTCGAGATATCGGCTCTCATTGTCCGGGAAGCCGAGACTGATCTTGAGCACGCCAGCGCTGGCTAGTCCGTCGGACACGGACTTGATATGTTCAGTCCGTAGTGAACAGTCTATCTGAGACGCCGCTAGACAAGGAATTTGCATTGAGAGTGGCGTGGAAATGTGGTCGGCCTTCCGTCGTAGATTCATTTTTCGTATAAGGAGCGGCTTGAGGCGATTAGCCCTCCAGGCACCATGGAAAGCTCGATACATGGTGGAAGACAACACTTTAGGGATATGTCCGTTCTAATTCACCATTGTCCATGAGACACAAAGGGGCATACGGGCGTCGTCCTAATATACTGAGCACCGTCCAGGGCGTACCCCTGGCAGTCCTCCAAGAGGACACCCCAAGTTCGATACGGACTGTCAAATCTCTTGTCAGATCTCTGCCGGCCCGAGACCGACTCCAAATCTATACGTACAACGAGCAACTTGGGTGACCTTGCCATCTATTGGTCGCTGCAGTGGAAGATGACCGAGGCAAGCCATCACACCAATGGAACCCATTGGGGGTAGTGGTACCGCACAATAGTGAACGAGTGAACCCATCAGCTCTGGATTTATTGTATACCTATTCTGATGGGTGCTCGGCTTCACCCGATGACGCCTGATGGCCTGTCTCTATTGACACCCAATCTCAATTGAGCAATACGTGCCGCCCGCTTTGAGGAGGTAGGCATCCTGAAGTATGCTTAATACTTATTGCGGCTATAATATCGTTCGATCACCCAGCTAACCAGCTTTAGCATGGGTAGACAAGGGCTTTGTAGTGTACGATGTAGATGGCCGATCTGTACGGTAAGGTCGATCAGTGCCTAGATAGGTAGAGTATGTAGACTGTCTACGCTACCGACGAACCGACGAACCGACAAACCGACGAACCGACGACGAATCACTCTCAGCCGCTGACGTCCCCTGCTGGATTCGACTCGACCCTGAACCCCCGTCTTTTTCTTTTTCATAAAAAGGAACAAGTATCCAGGTAACGTAGCAAATAGTACACACTGGATACCTATTCGCCTAACCTAGGCACATAAATAGGGTCCATAATGAAACCCAGGTACATAGACGGTCGTCACGCTGCTGCGGCGAACCATAAGGCGCCCTAGTTATCCAGTATTGGTTCTTTAATATTGTAGGGGAACCTACGCCAGCTGAGAACTTCAGCCGAGACACCGAAGCTTCAGCTGGAGAGAACAGAGCATCGTTGCAAGTTGCAAGTTGCAACCCTACAATGTACTCAGCCGCGCACTATGCGCAGCATTACCGAGTTAGCGAAATCCCTTTTTACACGGTAAATGCGGTGCCGAGGTGAAAGGCCATTCCAGGTAGGCATTTATGAATCGATCGTCGATAATTGTACCTCCTTAGTGTAGTGTAAGTAGTGTAGACCTGGAACTCATCTCATGCACCCCCGGGACAGGATTCACATACCTTGCGAGATGCGTGGCAAGATGCGTGGCACTTATCATGTACAGCTATCTCATACTTAACCAAGGATCAGGTCAGTGTATACATCATCATGTCTCACATCGGCATCGGCCTGGGATTCCCGACTTGATTCTCCTCTCCAAAATTTAGCTCCGTCTTAACAATCAACCGGGGCGCAAGTTGAGACAGTTCACTCCAACTCTCACGGACTCGTAGACTCGCAGACTCGCAGACTCGCAGACTCAACATCAATACCATGGACTACCATGTCTTTTCCTTGGGAGAAGTTTTAGCCGTTGCTAAGCTTCACCCTTTTTACAACAAAGATGCAGTATATCCTCCCGGTACCGATGCCGTCGAGGCTATTATCAAGGAACAGGCAGAAAAGGCGGCCGCGGAGCCGGACCTGAAGCAACAGCCGTTGCTATGGAAGCATCAATTGTAAGTGATGTGGAAATTATCAACTCGCCGCAAAATGGATGATTCTAATGGCGGCAGGTACACCTCTATCCAGAGACTCGTAAATGACACGAGCCCAGAGAATACCTATCGCCAGAATGCCTATGTCAGCACGACGGGCGGAGGCAGCAGTCCCATACCGTTGATGTTCGCAACGGACAACGGAGAGAACCGTAGACACAGAATGGCCTTCGGCCAATTTCTTCGCAGGATAGAGATTGTCACTCCCGGAGACTGGGTACTATCAGTACACACCTCCGGCAAGCTATACAGGTAAAAGAGCATCCCATCCGACTCTCAAGAGAGTCAAAACAACTGACAGTAGACTTTTATCAGGTCCCTAGACCTCAGCGCCGAGATCTTAGAGAACGCCGGGGCGTCTGTGCTCTGCGCAGGCCACCTCATGCCACCGAATAAGGTGTGTAAGCTGCTCGCCGGTTACCATATCAATGCGTTGACCGGCGACAGCAGCCAGGTGACGCAAATCGTACACAGCATCTCAACCCTGCCTCCGGCGGAGCGGGATAAGATCCGCCTGGAGAAGATCATATACACCTCCGAGATGCTCACCCCTGCACAACGGAGTTTCATCCGCCAGGTCTTAGGCCCCATCAAGATCTACAGCATGATGGCGAGCGCCGAGACCGGGCCCTGGGCAGCGAGTAACCCTGATTTCACGGGTGTCGATCCTGGTTTTGTTAGCGACGATACCGTCACGAAATCTGCCGACTTCATCTTCGACATGCGCGCTACCCGCATCGAGATCATCCCGTCCTCGTGTCTCGGGCCCAATCCGACTACCTCCGATCCGTTGCCTGATGGCGAGCAGGGAATCGTAGTGGCAACCTCTCTCAGCCGCCTCCGTCACCCGCTCGTACGCTATGTGACCGGTGACGTGGGATCAATCCATCCCCTTCCAGATCATGCGCGCGCAAAGCTCTCCGATGCTGAGTGGCAGCACTTACGCATCCTTCGACTGGTTGGGCGTGATCGACGGTTGAGCTTCGACTTTGATGGAGAATACATCGAATTCACAAATCTGGCGGCGGTAATGGAAAAGCCAGAATTTGCCATCCTGCAATGGCAGGTAATCCTCGGCCGGGTGCAGCCCTCCAATGAAGCGTCGTTGGAGGTTCGAATTCTCTTCGCCTCGAGAGAGGGTGATTCCTCTACCAAGCGGCAGCGGTTCACTCATCGATTGGAGACATTCTTCAATGTCGGCAAGGCGAATCGCCCCAGGTTTCGGCTCGTTTTCGTCACCGATATGAATGGATTTGAACGAAGTAGTACCGGGCGTAAGGTCGTCAAGTTCATCGACCATTATAACTGATAATTGATCAAGGATACCGCGTTCGTTCGCCCCGTGAGGCGCTATCGCTATTCATTTGGCTCATTGTCAGAGTAGTCAACAATAATCCTCGTTGGCATTCGATATCCCGGTATTGGTCTGTACGGCATGCTGATGTGCCCAACGGTGATTACCACGTGCAACATGTTGCTCTCGGGCTCACTGTCGTCGGTAGCATGCGTTCGATAGTTTATGATGTACTTGGAACCCGCATTGCCAATTGGCATATAGCACCTTATATGTAAAGGCATTTGCACACATGGCCCAACGTAGGGTAGACAGTCAATAGATTGCTGGCCACAGATTGATATTACAGCGGGCCGATTAGAGCACTTTGTGGTAAGAGGTTCGTTCCTAAACGAGGCCGATACCTTATTTCTGAGCTAGACACCCTCAGTGAATGGCAAAGGGAAACCATCGAGATAGATCGTCAGTACACAGACGGCAAACAGTAGATCTAGGACGGCTCGCCGTAGAGGCTTGCGGGAGAAAGACGCGGGAAGTTGTTGAGCTAAGGAAGTTCGTCGCATACACACTCGGCTCTAGAAAGTGCCGGAGACTATCTAAGTCCGACGTATGAGAGAAAAGTAGTTGTGTAGATAGGTCGATCCGAGTTCCGTCAACCGGCCAACAAGAGATGCTTTTTCTCAGCCCTTAATTGCTTGGAACGGAATCCGAACCACAGCTCTCCGCCGACATGTAGTCGACTGGTAAAAACCCGGTCCATCACATCCATGGACGACACGAGCTAGCTTGCCTAATGTAGGTCAGGGATCACGCCGGCATCAAACCACGCACGATAATTGATTGCCCATGCTGGTTGCTGACGGCTGGTCGGCCAAGAGCTGAGTTGAACAGCTCATAAGCGCGCATTGCCCTGTAGACCTACCGGAGATTTATAACCTCGGGTAGACAATGTAGCAATGCCAACTGGAGAGGTTGGCAATTAATTTGCAACATCATGGCGTTTCGCTCATCCATGGCCCTGGTAGGGACTCGGAGATACCGATGCAGAGAGAGAGGGAACTCTTGGAGGGTTGAAGTGCCGGTTTCCGTAACTACAGGTCGAAAGCGGCACCAGATCGATGCGACGCACACTCAGGCAGACCCAGGTAGTGTGATTGGCAATCCCTGTGCGTAACCAGACAGTTGGCGATCTCGAGTCCTGCCTCAGGGAAAAATCATGCGTCAGAGGAAAAGTTGTTGCCAGTTACATACTTGGAAGCAGGTAGAGCTAGAGATGATCATCGATGGGGGACATCAAGTCTCCGGAGCCGGTGCGGGGAATGGATTCGAATGACTAATTTCAGTGACGTAATGATTACATAGCTAGGAACTTTGTGTGTAAGTTGGAAGATCGCTAGCTCATTGGAGGTTGGACCGTTGGAGCAGGTTCGATCATTCTCAAATTGTCATCGCCGGCGGTTGCGATCTGCCAACCATGATGGGCGGGGGATGCCAGCTATGTGATTCGCTTTTGGTGAGGAGTGGTACAACAACCGAGCAGTTGGTCAGCGCCCGAGTGACGCAGTGGCTTAGCGTGCCGTTCTTATACTCTCTTCCTTGCGGAAGCTTGTATGATATGAAATGCGGAAGTCGTGAGTTCGATCCTCACCTTGGGCAAATCTTTTGCTTCTTTTTTCGACTTTTCCGATCTGTCTTCCGGATCTACCTTTTGTTGTTATTTTACCTACATAGAATTAACCAAGTTAATTTTTGTGATGTTTTTATTTCAGTCATTCATTGCTATCCCGCCTCTCTAAGACAATCATTAGCGACAGTTGAAATCGTGTGTGCCCTACGTTTCTTGACCGACATCCTCGTGCCGATCGAGTGATTCATCCTTTCATCTCCTTACACGTCTACCTACCTGTTGAAAGCATTAAATAACTTTGCCCATCAATCCTCTAACCGTCCAGTCTCACCAAGCTCATCAATCCATGCCTGCACATCACTCGCAATCGCCTCGGCGAGGTCTATACTCACAATCCCGTCTTGCCAGCTAACAGTCGCCCAAACGCCACGCCCAACGACACCAGAAACACTGACATTCAGAGCCGCGCCAGTGGCCTTCGCGCCCTGTGTGAAGAGCGCACGGTCAATGAACCACCGCCCATCTCCAGATCCGGTTGTGGAGTTGGGGACACCAGCGTCAACAGCACTGAGACTCCCCAGATTCGACAACTCCCAGCTACTCTCCCTCGCCTTCCCGAATTTACCACGGAAGTGCTCGTGCCAGTCTCCCACCAGAGGCGACAGCGCCAAGATGTCGTCGCGCGGAAGCGAGGCCGCCTTGGCCCGCAGACGAGCCGTCATGTTCTTTGCGAACGCCCAGGTTCCCGTCCCGCCGTCTCCTAGTCGTTGCACGCTGTCGAGGTCATGATCGCACGTAAGCGCCGTGACGAGACAATGGATGGTGGTGCCGGGCGTGAACGCAGCACCGGCTATGCTTCGGTCCACGTAGCTCGAGAGTGCGATGGGCGTTACGGAGCGGAATGAGCGGTTCCCCTCTCGACGAGCGAGCGCACGCCCGATCAGGGCGTGTAGTAACCCCGTCAAGCTGGTCCCGTGACTGCGACATACTGCCAGGATCTTGTTGAGTCGCGCCTCGCCTTCTAGCTGGAATAGCATCCGGATGTGAACCATCGTGTTCGACGCGTCTACTGGGGCTCCCGTCCAGGTGGTGTCGGTCACGTTTGTTAGATTGAATAAGTGTTTGAGGAAGGAAGATGCGATGGTGGGATATAGCAGATGTTCCCAGACTGCTCGTATCATGAAGGACCATGACGTGCTGAAGGGGATGAGGGTTTCCATGTTGGGAGGCACAGTTGGGGACTTGGGCAAGTGAAAGATGTGGTTTTGAAGTTCCGGGGGACGTGTAGCGTTGTTAAGAGCCTGCTGGAGGTTCTTGTGAAAGATGTACCCGCTCCTACCATCTGCGTAGGCATGGTGGAAGCAGAAGGCAATGTCGAAGGACAATAGCACGTCTGTTGGCCCCTTTTCTTCTCGTTCCAAACCGGGAGGCCCAGGGGGTTGGAAGGGGTTTAATTGCCGTGGATCGTGATGCACCACGATCTTCCATCCCGGTTTGACGGTGAGGTCTTCCCAGAGGAGTCTGTGGTGTTTCTCCAGGGAGCGGAACAGGTCGGCCTCATAGCGAGCTTCCTCATGTTTACGGTCTACGTCTTTTTTGCTTCCATCTTTGCTGCTGGTGTTTTCAGTCTGGCGAGTGTCGGGCGTGATGAGCTCTTGCCACTCGATCATGCGGCGCATATCAATGGTCTTGAGGTGCACGAAGGTCGGGTCCTTGGTATCTTCCCCTGCAATGCCGAGGCGCAGCATTGGCTGCCCAAGAATGACGGTCGTCAACGCGTTCTCAATCACATCCTGGAGGGAAAGTGACTTTTGCCGCAAGTAGATGGCCGATGTCCTGTACCGACATGTTACGATCACTGCTCGCAGAATGCCTAGACTATGCCTGGCTGTATGATACTTTGAGCTGTGAATGCCTTTGAGTTAGTCGTGCGGATGAGACGAGGCGATTCACAACTCACTGTATGCCCACGGGTCGGGCTATGTTTTCAATTGTGGCCATTTGTCACAGGATTCTCAGACACGGAACTTGAGGCTTTATGGATGCGATGTGAAAGAGAGCTTAACTAGAGTCAACGAATGAATAAAACTTACACATCCAAGCAAACTCCATACTTTTACTTCCAAATTTGCAAGATGGCTGCCTGGGACGTACGTGGCAAGCAGGGATTCGTAGGTAAGAAGATAAGGAAACAATATTTCCGACCGGGACTCCGAACCCGAACCCAAGCCCAAACCCAAACAAACACCCCGGGGCGAGTCATTCCTCCGACGTGATCGACGCTTACAAAGAATTTATTGATAAAACAGTCTCTATACAATTTCATCGTTTACCAGAAAACCTTCAACACAAATCATCAATCACATACGATCTCGACTTTATCCTCTCCTTGTCCGGCTTTGTAAAGTCGCCTCTGTTGAGGAGTAAGCACGGCTTCTCGTACGCATTCGATTCACGTTGAGCAGCGCATCCATATTTCGCATTCACATATCTACCGCCCGATGAAGAAGAGCCAACACATATTACTCTCCTCCAGGCAAGGTCGGTCATTGGCACGCCAAGTTTAGGCAGAGAATATTTCTCAATTCAGTAGATAGATATGCTCTGCTAACAGATGTGGGTATCAGAACTCTGCTCTCATACTGTTTATCACTTTCATACCGCCTATCGGCAATAGGAGACAGCACATCTTAATAGCAACCCGTTTTGAAGAAAACTCCAAGCAAACTTTTCTAGCCATGCAACCCTCCAGACACTAACCGCCAACCGCCAACCGCCGACTGCCAACTGTCATCCGCCTACCGGTTGCAAATGCTAATGTGACCGAACGCCCCCTTCCTTTCTCTACCGAATGTCGAGTGGGTATAATATGATGCAAAAGTCTTGGTCAATCAAGCAATGAAAGCCCGCCAAACGACCGACTTCAGTTCCCGACGATAAGACGTAGAAGAAACTTAATATGATGAAGCTTATTCACCGGAGTATTTCGTCAGCGCTCATGATCTCATCCTCATCTTCTTCCTCTTCCACTGCTTCACCCCGTTTAAGTGCCTCAGCACGCGCTCTCGCCGTCTTTTCGGCCTGCCACGCCGCGAAAGTTGGTTTGTAACCTACTGGTGCAGTCCATTCGGGAATCAACCCATGCTTACGCAGTCGTCGTCTGTGTCGATTGCGTTGCCACACGTCCATATACATCTCGTCGAATTGAGTGAAGTCGGTATTCGTGGCCCAGTCTGTCACCTCAGCCAACATGTCACCAATCTCCTCGCCTATTTGCCATGCAAGTTCTCTGCCCTTGCCCCCAGTAGCCCATTCGTCCAACATGAACGGCATAGTGTAGGGGAAGTACGGCTCGTTTGGCGACCAATCGCACCCTACCCCGGGTGTACATACATAATACGGGTCGGCATAAAGGAAGCAGAATGTGCTCTCAAGAGTATACCATATGAAGGCCAACACCGTAAATAGGCCAAAACGTGTGAGCCTGAAGCTCGGGTTTCTGTGATAAAGCCTTGGTATTGAGAGGTAGTGTGGAGCGGACTCATCGGTCGTCAAAGGCGGTTGTGACGCAGGCTTTACGCCGGATTTGTCTGTAGGTTGAGGTTTGTCGTATTTGCCACTGTTGTGGGTGACCTTATCTTCCAGTCTTTCAATCCCTTCTTTGGCAGAGCGAATGCCGAGCAGTCCAGTCTGAAGTGTTTTACTCATTCTGTCGTATCTCTCGAGCTCTCGCTCGCTGCCAGACTTCTCTGAGTCCTTGACCCGACCGTCATCAGCCTTGATAGTAGCGTGGACTAACTGTTTAGCCTTCCGATCAAGCAACTCTTGATCGGCAAGTATGGTATCGAGATTCTCCAACGTCGAGTCGTCTATATTGTTGGCTCGCAGAATAGTAAGGATATCATCCCTGACACTTGGCGGCTTCGCGGTATTAACTAAAGGCCGTCTCTGCCTGGACGAGGATCTGGAACTACGAGAACTTGTAGGCGCGGAAGCTGACCTCGACCCTACCCGCTTCGATATGCCTGTTCGGCTTATATTACCCGGGTTCGTGACATGTTTTGTGGAGGATGAACTAGAGATATGACTGCGAGCGGTATGGTATACTTCGCGTGCAGGAAGGTCCTCTCCTTTTGTTCGAATCGTGGCGGGTGTATCCACATATGCTCCGGTAACTCTGGGCGTCGGCTGCGTTAGCGGATCTACTTTCGGTGGCCGCGGGGTTTCTTCATCTGTGTTCTCGGGCACAAATGATGAAGGGGCTTCCATAGAACTCTTTTCAGATCTTATAGAGCCCTTTTCAGATCTGATAGAGCCTTTCTCGGACCTGATAGAGCCTCTCTCAGAATAGTTGTCCAAAGGGGCGAAAAGATCAAGTTCAGCCTCGATGCGATCTACAGGATCAGCTTCGGAGGTAGACCTACTTGATCGTTTGCTTCCAAGAGAGTCGCTAGAGGATATTTTCGTCAAATCAGCGAACCCCACTGTAGGTCTATCCTTCAAGTTCTTAACTCTCTGGCTTCGGAACCCCCTTTCTTCTTGGGACGATGGCAAGGAGGTAGGATTGCGTGCCTCAGGTAACTGCTCAATGTCGGCTGTCTCGGTGCGAAGGATATCATTGACCGATTCTGCCTTTATTGGCTTTTCCTTGGGACTTGAGCTGGTTACTCGAGCAAGACGGCGAAGTAAGTCGTGAGAATCACGCTTAGATGGACTGTCACGTTTCTCCTCGTTCTCTTGGGTTCTGCCCTGATCGGCAATACTTGGCGTCTTGCCATTCAAGTTCTTAACTCTGGCAGGCGCATCGCGAATCGACTCGGCTCTAGGTTCCGGATCCGAGCTTGGGACAGGCGCATCCTGACGATTAGCATCGGCATTCGATGGTGCTCCATCCAAGGTCCTCTTAGAAGGACTCTTAGAAGGGCTCTTGGAAGGGCTCTTGGAAGGACCTTTATATGGCGAGGGCGACCGACCGCGAGGCTCTGAGTTCCTGATTCTAATTTCTTCAAGGCGGCTTAAAGCTACGGCT